TATGGCGAATGTGGTTGTCCACATACACACAAGCGTCTTGATTTCGAAAATGTTCTTTTCCTTCGCATCTGGTAATCCTTTCATTTTCTTGGTTATTCGAGTGGTAGTCGGTTGGAAAGAGAGTTTCCGTCATTAGCAAGATTGTCTCTCGTATTGAAATGATGCTGTCGATAGTGTTCAGGATTTCGCTAACATCAAATGGATCATCTTGTACCGCTTCTTTCTGGATGGCGGTCGTACAGATGGATTCGGGAAATTTGGAGAAGATTATTCGACGCCAAATTCTGTCTGCGTTCATCTTTGCTCCCGTTTGCTCCAGGTGAATGATCCTCGCATTGACTGCTTCAAAGGTTTCTCGGCAACTTTTGGGATTGTCTGATGCTCTGGGAAGTTTTTCGATCTCGTTTATGAGTATGTCTGCCATGTTGGCAGAGCGATCGAAATGCTTTTTTACAATTTCTATCGCTGTCTCATATTTTTCTCCAACAACGGGGATGCAGCTTAGAGTGGCTGCAGCTTTTCCCTTTAGAGCTTGTTTCAGAAACAGGAATTTGTCCGTGTCGGATAACTCCTCGTCGGTGTGGATGAGTGATTCGAAGACTGTCCAGAAACTGTTGAACTCCCGGAAGTTGCCTGAAAACGTGGGAATTTCAAGCATGGGCTTCCGAATCTTGATCTGTCTTTCGTTGCGTTCCGGAGTTCCAGCTTGCCCGACTTCACTACTTGGCTGACTCGGTATGCTTGGAGTACTGCAGTGCACAAGCGCACTTTGTTCCTTGAGTTCATGTTGTCGGAACTGGATTCTGTTCTGCCACTGTACTGCCATGACCTCCAGATGAAGAGAGTTCAACTCAAGGTGTTTGCTGAGCTCAGTCATCAGCTTTTCTCTTTCTTTTTCCTCGTTTCTTGAGCCGATGTATTCAATTGCGGCATTCACTTGAGTGTCTTGAAGTTTGACAGCATTTTGCAGAGAGTTGAGGAAGTGCGTGATTTCTCCCATTTTCCTTTTGATATATGTCTCGCATTCAGTCTTGTCCACAGGAAAAGTGAATGGTGTGTCATATTTATCCACTTCCGACTCATATTGTTGATTTTCGATTTGAAAATTTGGAGCGCTGCCATTTTTGTATCGCACAATGTGTTCGGTGCGTCCGTTGAGCGTTGGTTGCGAGCGTCGCAACGTGAGATGTGTATCCTCGTTGTAGACTTTGGATTGAGGACGACAGCAAGGCTGGCCTCTTATGATAGGTGTCCTTACTGGGTGCAAGGAAGCCTTCTAGTGAGCTGGCAAATGGGTGCCGAGCTTTTACTAGCTGTCAGCAAGCGTGCCTTGTTGGCTTGAACGCTGTGCTGGACGGTAAGGTGTGTTGAACCTGTACCGTGAGGATTGAGAGCTTGAGTTCTTGGTGGAACTTCGAAGCTTAACAAGTAAGATTTTTTGGTTCTTGACTTGTTCTTTCTTCCGTTGAAATCTCTTTTTTCTAACTCTGGTTCCTTTGCAGGACTCGCGAAGAGATTAGTGAGATTGGAAGTGCACACACAAACTGATTCACTCTTTGGTTCCTTACGAAAAGGACGCGCGAAAAGAGTTTCACAAGTTGTGGTGGTGTTTGCTGCACAAAATTCTTTCCACTCCCTGGTCTCTTACGAAAAGAGCGCGCAAGGGAAGTTTTCAGAAATTAAGTGTTTAGCTACTACCAATTGGTCCTTTACTACCCTCTGGTCTCTTACGAAAAGAGCTCGCGAAAGGGGTTCAATTTGCAGTGGAGTTGTTGCACCGACTGTTTTCTTTATTACTCTCGGGTCTCTTACGAAAAGAGCGCGCAACGAGAGGTTCAATATTCAGTAGTGTTACCTGCCAGCTGGTCTTTTACTACCCTCTGGTCTCTTACGAAAAGAGCTCGCGAAAGGGGTTCAATTTGCAGTGGAGTTGTCTGCCGACTGGTCCTTTACTACCCTCTGGTCTCTTACGAAAAGAGCTCGCGAAAGGGGTTCAATTTGCAGTGGAGTTGTGGAACCAGCTGTTTTCTTTAGCCCTCGGGTCTCTTACGAAAAGAGCGCGCAACGAGGGTGTCAATATTCAGTGGTGTTGCTCAACAACTGTTTTTTTTACTACTCTCGGGTCTCTTACGAAAAGAGCGCGCAACGAGAGGTTCAATATTCAGTGTCCTGCCACGCGGGTCTTGTAGGCCTTGATTTCCGAGGGGAAATGCAAGGAAGTTCCCGGCCGATGCACCAATTTGGTGTGTACCAAGTGATAGGGTAGACGAGTAGTTGTGGAATAGGTTTATTCACACTGGCGTAGATTAGTTGAGAGCGATCTGTCGAGGGTCCCGGTGTTAACCGGGGAGGAACCTCTAATACATTCGGAGGCTCCTAATATAGGAAGAAAGGCGGAGCCAAACCGAATACAAGGTACAAAGTATACGAGTTGGTACTTAAAAGGAGATGCCGCCGATTGGCTACACTCCTGGCGCACAGGTACCACTCACTCTTGAGTGATTAGATACTCGAGAGTGAGTAGCTCACCATTTAGCCTACGGGGATCCCGTAGGCTATACAGATTATAGAGTTCATCAATGGTTGATGATCCAGAAATCATCAACAACGTATGTGCGGAATAGAAATTTTTATTTCTGGACCGATTTGGACCAAACTTGGCACACATATACTTCGGGGCAGGGAGCGTGTCTTAGGCTACTTTTCGTTATCGATCGATATCGATTTTATCGATTTTTTGCAAAATTTGAGCTACGGTGCTGGGAGTTGGCACAGGGGGGTAATCGAGCATGCTGATTACGAATATAATAATGACAGGGCCGGGCGGAGCCGGGTTTGCCAGCTAGTTCAACAATAAAGCACTCCCCTCACAGCGTGATTCATGGATGTGAACCCAAAACCCTCTCCGAATTGCTTTGCAACTTTCCACCAAAAAGTTTGTTGATGACAAGGATTACGCTGATCAACTGACGATGACACTCAAGAAAATTTGAGGAAGTCCATCACAACATCGATCACCCTCAAGAGGATCAAACACATCAATACACTCTCAGAAAGAGGACCTCACCAAAGGATTTCACTTTGGGACAAAAGGTGATGATCAGGAAACACTGGAAACAAACTTACATCTCGCTTAAGGGCCTTTTGAAATTATTAACATCAATCTCCCAACATTACTATTCGTGACGGAAGACGAACGCGTGAAGTGCATATGAAACGTGCAAAAGTTTATTATCAACCGGACATTAGTAAACTCTTTACAATAATCGAATCCCTCCGATTCAGCTAAACAATACCAACCTTTCTTCCCTCCTCCTCCCCCCCCCCCCCCCGATACCACATCAAGGACAAAAGATATCAATAATCACTCTTCTCCTCCTCCCCCCCCCCCCCTCCGATTCCAGCCAACGACTCACCCTTGTTACAACTACGTGAGGTACCAGTACACACCTAAATGACTACCGAGTAATGTGGACAAAAGCACCCACAATGCAAGTGGATATCTACAAGTCTTTAATCACTCCAATAGCGTTGAGAATGTGATCACGCCCAATACGGTAAAATCAAGGCAAAGGACAACATCAATGGTCAATGGACGTGCCAATCAAACCGAACAACATCGAATGGGATGATGTATTCGCTGCGCTGTTGATCCTAGCTCTTCAAACAGCCGCGCTAATCCGCTATCTGCACTTTTCGGCTCGTCGCATACGCTTACCGTCAACGACATCGCGCACCCAATTACAGTCGCTTCATTCATATGATCATGTGTGCCATTGCACACAGTCCACTTTGGCGTCCTCATCCTGGATTTGCAATCGCAAAAACGCAAGAGACTTACCGATTGTTATCGACTACATCAATTTGAGGCGACTAGTAACTAAAAAGGAAAGAAAATGCTAAGAACACCTTGGAAACACTTACCTGAAGGCTTGTTTCTCCCAGGAATCCAGGATGGGGACGCCAAAGGTGTACTGTGTGTGCAATGACACACATGATCATATGAAATGAAGCGACTGTATGCACCCTCGCGGGTGTAGGCCGGAAGGCGACAAAACCCAGTTGGAGCGAGCGCATGGAGGCCACGCCCCTCATGAGCGCCTATGACACCGAGCGCGAGGTCAATCACAGGACTGACGCTCTTTCGGCACACGCGCTGGCGCACTAATGGTAGCAGCATTTTTCGGAGTTCCTATTGACTTACTTGTTGCCTAGAGTAAAATTAGTGGTCAAATATGGGCTAAGCAGTATACGGAGTAAATGTGTCACTGGAACCTGCTTATCTCCTTGTTGGTACTCGTCCATAAGTTTGGTGATGTAACTTTTTCAAAATTAAAAAGATCAAGCATTGCAGACCTACGAAACACGTTATTATAGCTTTGGAACGAGAGAACACAATTACAATTCACCAGAAAAGACGGATTATAAGCAGATCAATTTCTTCGAAGGCGCTTCTTTTGATCTAGGAGTGCAGTTCTGCCGCGATCTTCATTCTTTTGATTTACGGAAGTCGATTTGTCACATTCAGATTCATAGAGTATGCATTATAGCGACTGAGCTTGTCATGAACCGTAATCAGGACATGACAAAGGCAGAGTGTGGTATTGTTCAAACAGACAAGATATCAAAACGATCATACTGTTGCAAGTCAGCTCCCTTTCGGTGGAAGAAATGCACTCATTTTGCCGCAAATCCAAAATTGTCTAATTACTTGACCGGTTTAGAAACCCGCATTCTGTTTATCATCAATTCTATGACCTTTCTCGTGCTTTTCTGCGCTGTTCTGTCCTACAGTTTGTACGGTAGTCTTTATTTTCAATGAAAAAAAGGCAGCGATGCTAACAATAAGAAAAAAAGAATGGTTTTATCATTAACACATTACAGTGTATTGCAAGCGACAGCTGAAATCAAAAAAAAATGAAGTGCTCGAATAATCTCAAAATCGAGATCCCACCGCAGAATGCGTCCTTGCTCGAAGTGCTCCAAATCTTCTTCTGTGTTCAGCCTGAAGAAAAGTCGTGTTGTAAAGAAGATGCAAAAGAATGATAGCTCACCTTTACTTGATATAACTGGCTTACAGTACCGTTGTTGAGTGGAATTCTACTCACATTTTATCCGTTCCATCATCAACTTGGACGAGATCTGCACAAGAACTAATTAACATGTAAAAATAGAGTTAACTTAACACATCACTCAAGAACGCAGGTATCTATTAACCTCCTTACTAAAATTATCTTTTATTGCACTATGCTGCAGCCTGAAACAAAATTTTCTACAAAAGGCAGTTTTGAAGAGCATATGCTTACAGATAGGCAAATACAAAATAATGCAAATCATCACATTACCACAGTGAGCAATAATATACATACACAAAAAACATGTTCAAAAAACTGCGTGAGAAGAAACGACGAAGTCAGAGATTGAGAGAGCCATGCGCAATGTGTGTAAAGGCGCCCCAATCCAAATATCCAGAGCATCCTAACAAAGGGGAACTCGGACAGGGCGTGGCCACTAGCTGCGCCTGTCCTAGGTCATTTGTCGCCTTCCGGACGTTCCCCCACCCTCGCGCGTCCACATCAACAAATAAAGGCAAAATGATTATGTTTCTGTGATATGTACTGACATCATCAACATAGTCATAGGTATTGATTGCATCGATATGGTTATAGATAATTGCATCAAAATAGTCATAAGTGATTATAGTTATGTGTAATAAAGTTATAGTTGCTGTAATTTGTAAACTAATCAGTAATTTTTATTCCACCTGCATTGTACATAAATCTTTTTAGACGACTCCGAATCCGAAACCCGGATGTAACAAAAATCTTCATGAAGCCCCCGTGTGGGACACTTTGTCAATGCATGACTCGGACTCATCCGGGTCGGATTCACTTATAGACGACTGGCGGGAGGAACTAACACCACTTGAAGCAGAGGGTTACCCGCTCCGAAGGCCCTCTGAAATGATATCTCAGAGGGCCGAAGACTAACCACAACCCGAACAACCAGCCCCTCCAAACGAGATGACTGGCCGGCAGTCGAGCCGATGGACTTCAGCAGAGATCTGTCCTATCAGCAGTACTTCTAAGAAGAACAACGTGAAGAAGAGGAGCAGAGAGAGATCGCCTTCACATGAGTGGCATTATCTCGGATATTTCTACGAAGGAACGAGGAAGGAGCATGGAACTAGTGTGGTACTCAACAGAAGGATTTGGAGACCGCTACGAGTTCCCCGAAGAGTCAGCTGGCGATGACCCTACCCAAACCTGTACGGTCTGTCACAACAACACCCACCTAACACATGAGTGTCAGGCCCAAACACCTCCCTTCCTTCGATGGCCACCATTCCGGTGTACGGTCTCAATAAGGTGCGCTCGGCTGCATAATGAAGCTGTCAGCGACCGATTCGATGCCGTATATACCGGAGTCCAAATCACCCTACGGGCGCCTGCCTAGTGGGTCGCTATCCCTTACAACCACTGCCACTACCCGAGCCCGAGGATGATACCGAGTAGATTTTTTTTTACTTCCGGGACCCGGAACTTTCGAGGGTATAGAATGTGGTGGTGCTCGCCAAAAAAATTCCATGCACCAACGTGCAAGTTTGTCCGAGGCTGAAGGTGCAGCCTTAGCCTTGCAGCGGAGAGATCCGGCTGCAGGGCGAGTAGCTCCTCCGCCTCGAGGGATGCACACCATCCTACGCCGCCGAAGGGGCCTGGCGGCCAGTAGTGTAGAAATGAGTCATCGGGTAATAATTATCTCAATTACCTCTCACGTACTTGTACGTCACTTACCTCATATGCCTACAGCTCATACATATTTGGTGCTTCATATGTAGTCGTGATCTTACGATTAGTGTATTTGTGCGTGTCCTTTTAGTGCTTAACGATAAAGGTGTGGCTACTTTGATTCTAGGTGTTGTTGGAAGAAGAAAAGAAATCGATTTAAAATATAATCGAAGGTTTCAGATTCATGGAAACTTTTGGGAATTATGGCATCCGCCTGTGTAAATGGAGTTGTAACGTGTGTGCGGGATCGCGGGCGTTATAAAATGAGCTTCTCTAGGGAAGACATTCCTAATCCTGCAGGAAGGGCTGTCGGAAACGAGCGCTTACTTGAGGAAATCTGCCTTGAAAAGAGGAAAGCATTCAAATAATTCTTTCTCTCCAGTGGAGATGAGCTTCTACTTGGGGAATTCAAAGCTTGAGTAAGTAGGTCACGCTGGTGAAGATGAGCTTCAAATGGGGAGATCTTCTTTTGTATAAAGGAAAGCGTGAGTGATTGGATTTGGCTGGTGGAGCAAGCGCCTGTCATAAAGAATTATAACCACTTCGTCTTGCCGATAATTTGCAAGATTAGACCACTGATTTGAAACCATTTACCGGAAAAAAAATTTGTGCAAAGAAAAGCATAAGAGTAAACGGTCTTGTCGGTGGCGGACCCGGCTTTTCGGAGAGGTCATTGCTGGGAAGTGACGTGGTATCGCCGAATATTCGCAAAATCACAGGAGAAAACTTGTTTTAAGAGCGCTTATTTGAGGAAATTCTGTTTTCTCTTGGTAAAGCATGTGAGTGAGTGGGTCTCATTGATGGAGGCCATCCAGCGAAAGGAACCTTTTCGGGAAGTCCATCTCACAGATTTTCCGAAATCTTATAAAAATCTGCTTCGTAAGCGTTTCTGTGGGGGAAAATTCACTTATGCTTGTAGAAAAGCGAGTTATTGACTCTATTCTCGCAAAAGGAAAAGGCTCAAAGGTCAAGGTAGAGCATCAGTACAAAGAACACATAAGAGTATGCAGGAAGATGTCATTCAGATGCAGAAACTTTTAGAGTATCTGCTTCGATCCACTTATAGCGACCCCTAGGGTCGCTGGTCCTCATAATTAGGGAATGGCCTCCCCGGTAATCCGTCTCGACGAATCTGGGAGCCGAGCATACTTCTAAAAGTTCTTTCAAGCTCAAAAACCTTTAATTCGATGAGAAACATATAAGGTAGAACACACAGTTTGAAACGAGTGTATCCAACAGTGTCAACAGGAATTTTGACTTTCTGGCTTCCTTTGAAGGACTTTTGGAACACTATTCACATTCATTGGGTAAAAAATTGATGAAGTGCCTGCAAGGATAACCAAACACCAGTGGCGGTTCCAGGGTTTCCGTCCGAGGAGGGGCGGCAAATTTTCCAAATGAAGGTGCGTGGCGTCAGCCACGCCCCCGGAAATTTTTTCTTATAAGGGTAAGTTGAACTTTCAAAAATTCAATTGTTTGAAGAATAAACAAGTCACTTGCACATTTTTATAACCCACGTAAGAAAATTTCAAAAATTTTGCGACTCATTCTCGGATGGGGGGCCTTGGTCCGCCCTGCCATCTACGCCTGTAATTTCCGTGATTCCCCCACTTCCAATGTGCCGCACTACGAGCATTGCGAATTTCAGTATACATTGTTTTTTCGCAATATACATTGATGTGACCCGCAGGAACCACAGAGACCGCAGGAATTGCAGGAATTATTGGAATAGTATGGCCGGTCCCTATTGAATCCATATTATTACTGTATATGCCGATTTGTGCAGTTTGAAGTGTGTGTGTAACCGCACAGATAATATGCTAATTTTCTTTAGCTTCTGCAGAATCATGATTCTAGTTTTGTATTCACGCTTGGTTTTCATCGATGGTTTTTGATGAGTTTCAAAGGCATTTCGATACAATAAACAACTGCAGTCTCATTACATTTTGGTGATTCATTTTGTTGGGGCACTGAACACGTCCTCAGCCAGGAATAGCAAGTCGTTGATGTTCGTTAGCTTTGTTGGTTTCTCAAGTTGCCTCTTTGATCGGCTGCGTTCTTCCTGATCTTCACGCTTCAATATGTTCGTGAAGTTTAACCTTCAACCGAATGCTTCTCACCCTGTACTCGTTTCAGTCAATGGAGTTGCTTCACTACAACGACTGATAGTAATGGGCGTTTGGTTGACTGTGGCTTGCTATTTAATAGCGTTTTCACCCGCGGCAGCCCTTTTCTGTCGATTCGTTGCCAAAGATCCGCTTAGAATTATTTTATTTGTGTTAGGGTGAGTGGTTTTTGAATCATAGATTAACCATTTCGTACTCATGTTGTGATTTCAGGGCTTTCTTTTGGCTCGCATCGCTTTTGCTGTCTTCATTTATCTGGTTGGCGATCTCTATGCTTTGGAATGCTCTTCCGTTAGCGGTTTTCTGCTCCATCATTCTGCAAGATGCAGCACGGGTCTTTTACTTCTGGCTTCTTAAAAAAGCGCAAAGGTGGGGTTCTTTTTTGTGAGTGGGATGTAGTAATTTTTACGCTCACTTAGATCTTCGTTTTGGCCTTTAAGGTTCCGGTACGCTGATAACGTGTCTGTTAATTGAGAAACTAGTAATTGTTTACATTTCTGACTCAGCTTCTCGCGCTTTCGAGCTTCGCCATATTTGTTAGCGTTCTTGGGCGATATGCTTTTGCAAATTATTTTTTCTCACTTTGTGGTCTCAATCGCTTGGTTCTTCATTGAAAAAAGTCTCTGAGCTCAAAGTGTTGTTTTCAGTGGTCTTAACAAAATTACCAAACCTGGCTCCGTTTCGATCGCACCTGGAGTTTCAGACTTGCATAATGCTCGACATATGCTAGCCTTGGTGAGTCCATAAGCTTACATCGAGCTTTTCGTTTCTTTTTGCTTGATTTTTCATTATGAGCTTTGAGTTCATTCTAATTCAATTTTATGTCTAACTTGATTCAAGTAAATGTGCGCAAATTTATATCTTTTTGTCAATTATTGATTGAATTATTAGGTTTGTGGCCTTGGAATGGGCGTCATGGCTGCTCTGCTTCTGACCATGAATGTGTTCGCTGAGTTTGCAGGTCCTGGTACCATTGGTCTCCCGCGAGCAATGAGGGTAGGAAACATTTCTATCTTGTTTGAAAATAAGTTAATGTTGTACTCTGCTCACGTTGCAGGAGGGGCATCGTGATGTAAATTCAGCAGGGACCAACTTACCGTTATATTATGCTTTGTCTGGATGCTTCACAACACTGTTCAATGTTGCATGGACCATTATGGTACATCATTCTTTTCCTTCCCTCTTTTTTCACCAACAAATTGGCTATTATTCTTACCTCACGCTCTGCAGATATGGGATTCATGTCATAAAGTGAACAAGACGCCATACTGGGCCATTCCTGGAATTGCAGCAACCGCTTCGCATGCTGCAGCCAGTGCCTTAGTAAGTTTGCAGAAATTTTTGTGCTAGTCCTTTGATTATATTTGTTTACGCTTCATTCTGTTAGACTTCCAATGACTGCTCCTCAATGCATAGGTCATTTTTCGCAGCGATAGCTTTCAAGATCTTGACTCTAACAAAGATAGTTTTACTGCTTACCTAGCTCTTAAATACGTTGTTCAGTGTTCCATATTCAGAGCTGGTACAATTCTGCTGGATATCAACCGGCGGTACTTATAGCTCAAGCTTGTCTACTTCTAATCTGTATTCTCTACTGTAATTACATCACAGGTTCGACGCCGAAAGCAATATTGGATGGTGAGTACCTAGCGCACGCCTAGTTTTTGTCCAAATTCGGATCATTTTTTTGATGTGGAGTATCGATGAATGCTCTTACCACAACATTGTATTTTCTAGGTGTCCAATCTGCGTTAATCGATTGGGTCACACTGAAATGGGTGCGAGAGGAACTTTTCAAAAAGCGTGAAACACCGTTCTCGGGTGTTGAAGAAATGGAAGCAGAAGAAAGGAGAGAAGTCGATGCGTAACTCCTCAGAACGGTGCTTTCGATAATCAAATCTTACATATCATAATTACGATTGAAGATCAAATGTCGGTGATATACTGCTTCGTCTTGACCGTCTTAACACATTCCTCTTCTATTTGATCTCGTTTCTCTTGATTAATTTGATTCTGATAAGGGTATACATAATGTTGTTTACATATCTGTTTATTTCCTTTCACTTTTCTGTCTTTTTGTTTGATTCTGGAAAGGTTAGAGAGAAGTGGTCTATGCCCTGACTTATGCTGCGAAACAGTGGCGCGAGATGATGTAATAAAGATCGTATGACTCATTTCTATATGTGATCGGCATTGTGGGCGTCTGTAGATTCTGAACATGCAGAAGTCAAAACTGGTCGGTCATTCCGTTGATTAGGTTTGATGGATGTTTGTAGAAACATTTAATCAATCTGGTTTTTTTTTTGCACCATCGCTAGGCGTTTCAATTAGAATTTGAGGGTTTTAACAAGAGGTGATGCAGGGAGTCGGGTCCCCCCCCGCCGCAAACGAAGGTGGTCCCAGCTACCAGCGGGGCGAAAAGTGAACGTGCTAGGCTCTTGATTGGAGAAGGCCAGAGGATTCTCAGCGATGAAAAGTCTCAAGCCTGACATAGTCGTAAGTGGCATTAAGCCCTCCACATGTTATCTATCATTTGAAGGCTCTTGAAGAGGAGATTCTAAGCTATGAAGTCGCAATCGAGATCACGAAGTTATGGAGAAGGTATGGCTGTTATATGAAAAACCATTTTTAGCCTTCTTTCAAGGGCCTGGCTCTCGAAGATGTCCTTGTAGAACGACACGGCTAACGTGCGGTCTGATGGAGCAAACCTTACTCCACAAAAGCTGTGAAGTTGCTACACCACACACCCCATACTCAGTATTTACAGGTTTGCAGTGGCGTA